TAGAGCGCTGAAATCTTAGAGGGATGTTCCCCGTCCAAGTAGATGTTAATGCACTGAAACCCATCCCCCTGGTAAGTGTGGTTTCAGCGTGCGGGCCCGCCGAAATTTTTTTTTTTTTGGGTAGGTTCATAACTCGGGGATCTGAGGGCTAGAACGCTGAAGTCTTTGGGGGATGTCCCCGTCCAAGTGGGTATTGACGGGTTCAAACGCTGCCCGTGGGTAAGCGTGGCACCTACATACGGGCCCGTGAAGGTTTCTTCCGGGTAAGTTCCTAACTTGAGAACGTGAGAAGCTAGAGGGCTGGAATTTTGAAAGGATGTTTCCTGGCGGTTCTGGCGGCCAGTCTAAAGTTCTTTTAGCTAGAAGCATCTGCCGGAAAGCCAGTGCCGTTAGCTACAAAAATCTGCGGGGAGCTATGCATAAACGCATCTTTGCATGCGCTGGCCAATTATTATTATATTGCTATATCATTATTATTATATTACTGTGTCATTATTATTATATTATTACATTATTATTATATCGTTATTATTATATTATTATTATCCTGCTATTATTATAATGTTATGTTATTATTGTGTTTTTATGTTGTTATTGTGCTATTATGATATTGTTATTAAATGACAAGTTTAATGTGGCGTTTAACTGGATCAAGTGAAAATAATCAAACAAATTCTCGACATATTCCTAAAAATAGTTTTTAGAACTTTTTTGAAGGGTTCGCATTAGTCTCGAAAAAGTCTTAAATTTTTCTTTGTGAAAGACCTTAATGTGGCGTTTGAACAGTGTATGAAATAAAAGTTCACCCTTTCCATGACATTCGCAATCTCGCTGTTGTCGCCGTACGCCGATTTGTAGGCGCCGCTTACCATTCGAATTGTTGCTGCGTACCTGTCAACAGATTTCTTTCGATTTATCAAAATCATGTTGTTTTATCATGTTTTTAGAACAGGTAAAATAACAATACCCCAGACAAACAGTGTGAGCATTCCGTGTTAACGATGTTACTGAGATGGCTGTGCACGCCAGATGCCACTATGGCAGACCTTCTGGGCTACTTATCTTTACTTAGCACCCACTGCTTGTTCGACATATGCTTGCTATCTCTTTCAAGACAGTTCAGTTGGCCTTTTACTTTTTCGCAGGTAACACTAACAAATTTGCGACATCCACCGGTTGTAAGCTTAGTAAACAAATGTCAAAAACTTAATTTCCTTCATAATCCGGTTTTCCTCAAAGACGGAGGTGATCGGATGTAGCCCGAGTGGTAGCAAATATCGGCAGCAAATTTTTGCTAGCAAGACTGTTAAGAATCCTACTTCCAGGAGTTGCACAAAAACAAGCTGATGAGAGATATGAGTCCCTGGCATGCGTCAGCACTAATTTTCCATCGGAACGAATGAACAGTCGTAGAGAGACTAACTGCCCCACTGGCCAAATGAAATCCTTACGTGAAATTAACGCTGTTTTCCACTGCGTTACACCGACCAGCGTTTTTCGTAAAATAATCAATGCTAGCCAGTTCCAGTTCAATTTCGACAGACAGATTTTTTCTACTAGTTCTAGTCGGGTTTTTAGGTCCACTTAGCACTTGTCATAGTTTTTTAGTAAAATACGCTGTGGCACTTTGCATGTACATTTTGGCCGAAGTGCAAGGATATCTGGCAGAAAACCCACGGAAATTTTAAAAGCTGGTCAGACCTTGAAAATACTTTTTCCATCGCGTCACTAATCTCACCGACGGTGCATCGGGCGCGTGATGCTTCCACCGCTGCATCCATCAAATTTCCAGTACCTTTTGCTGCTTCCGTAATACTTTCCAGCGCTCGACGTGCGCGGTCCTGCACAGTTTTTGTAAGTACAGTAAAGCTAGTAAGAAAATGAGGTACGCATCCAGAAATTTAAGCTTTTGTAGCTAGCGAGGGAGAAGTGATAAATGGCAACGCGCACCAGACTAGCCAGTGCGATTATGCGTTTTGTGCAATTCAGCCCATGCCTGTTAATGATTTTCACTGCTTTCTACTTTAGTCTATGCAAAAATAGTTCAAACTTTGAAAAACAGTTAAAAATTTCACGCACCAGCGTATGAAAGCTGAATTCGAAACCTTGAAGGATGA